TCCGCTTTTGTATTCTCTAATTCTTGTGTTTGCACCTCTCCTTCAGCGCTTGATTTATTTGTCAGCTGAGCTTGCAAATCATAAATTTGTACTTGCATTTCGTCTCGTTGACTTTTAATTTCAACAAGTTGTTTTCTGTATTCCTCCGCCTCCGCCTCTTTATCTTCAATTCTCTTTTGCAAATCTTCTTGTTCTACAAAATCTCTTTTTAATTGGTCATAACGTTCATACTTGAGCTTAAGATCTTTCAAAAATTCTAGCTGGGTCTTTAAATCCTGCATTAACGATTCCTTGTCACTTGAATTATCATTTTGAACGCCATCCATGCTGTCCGAGTTTCCGTCGCTGCTGGAATCTGACGTGCTGGAATTGCTAGAAAATTCGCTACGAATGGCAAGTTCCTGTTGCAGTGCCGCGAGTTTCATTTCAAGCGTGTCAACCGATTTCTGCGTCGAGTTTATTATGCCTTCATCTATTACCGCTGCGCTGTCTCTTTCTCGTCTTCTCAACTCTCCGGAGAGCGATTGAGTTTTCCTATGGATTTCTTGTTTGAGAGAATTATACTCGTCGCTATATTCATCTTTAGAGAGCTCATCGAATCTCATTGTGGCCGGCAGAGAAGCTCTGACGGGAGCGATTGTCGCGGCGAACGGTGAGAATCTTGTCGGCGAGTTCAACATCAATGTGCTCGAAGGTGAAATTGGAGTTATAGGTGTTGACGGTAAGTCTTCAGCTGAGTCGTTGTAATTGTTATTCATCACCAATCTTGCTTCGTTTAACTTGGACTGAGATAATTGCATTTTTATATCTTGCAACTCTCCGAGGCATTCTTGGTACTTGGATTTGATTTGAGAAAATTCAGTAACAGTTTTCTCATGCGTTTGTTGAAGCTCGGATAATTTTGTTTGCAAATCTTCTGCGCCTTCTGTGTTTCCTCGATTCTCTTCCGTCTTTAGTAGTTCAAGAGGACCGGATGCTTCATCTTCATGTAACTTTGATCTTTTAAGATCATCAAGCCCGAGGACTAGTTCATTGACGCGCTCTTCGAGCAAGGAAATTCTGTTTTCACGTTCCAATATCTCGTTCAGTAAAAATTTCTTGTCCTTTTCACCATCAGAACCATCTCCGTACACCAACTTCTTTTCCAGCTCAAGGAACAAGTCACCTCGCTCCTTTAATCTAATTTCCAACTTCTCGACTCTCTTACTGAATTCCAAGATCTTTTGGTCGCTTTCTACTAATTGACTCTCCAGTGCCTTTATCCTATCCCCGTTGATCTCTCCCTGCTTTCGGTAATGTTCTTCGTTGGCCCTCAACCTGTCTTCTTCCTCCTTCAACTTTTTAACGCATTCTCGTAATTCCTTTATGATTTCCTGGTCCTTTTTTTGTTCCTCTTCGTACATCTCAATTTTAGATTCAAGTTCCTTGATGTGTTGCACAAATATGACGTCTTTATTAGAGAGTTCCGAAATTTTCATTTTTAGTTCGTCAATTAGTCTTAGGTTGTCAGAATTAAGTTGTTCCGCGTACTCAAGCCTCGACTCTCGATCAGACATCAACGAGTCCGCGTGGGCTAAGGCCGCACGGCTTAGGGCGAGTTGACTCTCAAGTGCAGATATGGACTTTTCGTATTCTTCTATGACCGGTTCCACGACTTCCTGGAAACTCTGTTTTTGTAACATGAACCTTGATTTGTCATTGACCACAGGTGGAGGACTTGATGACGCTTCGTCACCATCATCCACCTTGGCACTTCTGTGAATTCCATTAGAATTAGATATTGACATTTGAACGAATTTTTGGCTAAAATTGTCATCATCATCATCATTTACAATTGGCTCTTGAGTTGATGTACCGTTTATTGATGCCGATAAATGGATGGAAGGTTTCTTTAATAGGCTGTGAGATGCGACACCGTTAGCATTGTTGGGAGCAAGTAATAACGATGAATGGTCAAGGGAATTATTGGTAGTCAATTGCGTGGGGGTGTTTCTTCCCGAGCTACTCGATCCGCACGCGCTACTTCTACCACTTGTCGATCCGTTGGACGTAGCCAACGCTAAGGCACCGCCGCTCTTCAACAACTTAACCTCATTTCTCAGTTTTACAACCAACGACTGTACATACTCCAAGTCCTGCCACCCAGCTTCTTCCTGATTCACGACCGCATTGTTTTTAATGTTTCTTGCTCTGTTGGCGTACTTTAGCGTGTTCACCGTTTCATTCAGGTTGAATTCCGCAGGTGAAACACATGCGATCATTAGAGTTTGCGCATTTCCTCCCAAGGAGTCCTGCAATAGTCTGGTGAGCTTCGAGTCGCGATAAGGTATGTGAGTTGTGTGTTTGGCCTTGTTTGGATCACCCAACGCAGAAATTACATTTCCGAGGGCCAAAAGACCAGAATTGATGGATATGCCCTCTTTCGCACGATCTCCTACCGCGGATGTTCGCTTTAGCTATAGAACAATGAATCAATCTTTTGAATTAGCAAAGGAAATCGACGATTGGAAGAGAAATCGCGAGGTTGATTAGATCTTACCCTCTCGCTGCCAGCCAAGTCCACGAAGTGGAATTTACTCGTGACCGTAACAGATTCGCCAGATCCCTCGTCAAATTGTTTGTTCAGTCGACCTGTGCTTGAAACAGGTCGAATTCCAGACTTCGCTAACTCGGTCATTTTTGATGGAGGTGGTGATGGTGATGATGAATTTGAGGATGCGACATACTTTTGCTGTGTCATCGTCACACTGAATATTGCGTGAGATCTCGAGGATTGCGCATTCATCTGTGTAGCACCCACCTGTCGATTTTGGGAGCCCCTTGACAGATGACTAATCGATCGAGCAAAACGAAAATTTGATGAACGAGTTGATCGCAAAGCCACCGAATGCGCAAGAAAATATTCACATACCTCATTAATTCATCAACTCCGTTAACCTTGATCTCCTGTAGACCGCTCCACAAAATGTTTCCTTTCAGATCCTCTCTTATGGTGACCTGCGATCGAGTATCACCATCACCAAGTAGATCGATCAAATCTTCGTTGTAAATTTCGATGAACGACACTTTTATTGAGAATTTATTCGAACGATATTTTGGTTCGTTGGTTTGATTGAAAAGCGTGGTCATCGCTCGAGGTATTATTCCCTTGGATTCAAACGGTATAGATGAATTGTCGGCCGTGCCCATGGTGTGAGTTTTCCCAGATGATGTCTGTCCGTAGGCCAGGACCGTGACATTATAACCTGGGTTTCCGTCGTGAGAAAGAAAAAATAAATAAGATTAACTAAGTTGACCTTGAATGGGTAAAATTAGCACGCGAGACTCCTGAAATTAAGTATGCACCTTCCAGAAACTTATCAACCAACTTTACAATAGCCTTCTCGTAAATATCTTGTTGCGAGGATTCCGGACCGAATACATGATCATAACTGAATGCCAGTTTCTTTTCTGATTGCACGACCACCGAATTCGGTGGCACCACGGTTATTACTTGACGTTGAAATCGTGTGGGTAAGGCAGCTGCATCTCCATTCGTCATTGGCCGTATTCTTACGGCTAATGCACGCGTAAAAAAAAAAAGAAGAATGAGTATGGAATGGTAAATGATAAATCGTTTTCTTTTCCTTGTTCGAGGTGGCACTCCCCCTCGATCAAGTTTAACCGCGTCTCTCATATTGATAATACTGACCAACTTGTACTGATGACTTTTCTGTTCCATCATCTTTTGAATTCGTCATCTTCTTTGATATTGTGTAGGGTGAAAACGGCTATCTTCAATGTGATTTTTTTTTTTTAATTGTGAAATTTTCTCAGCCGGTAAGAAAACGACCAATTTGCAATTTCTAAAAATGAAAGTCCAACTATTATTATCCAACTTTACCGAGGAATAGGATAATGTATGTGTATGTGAGTATGATTGGGGTACTACTCACTTGGTTGATGTCCTTTTTTTTCCCTTTCAGTAGAAAGTAGGTTTGTAGTTGGGTGAGGTATTACCTTTAATAAAGGTCGTTATAAATACAAAAGTGTCCTTGACTATGTTGTCTTTTAGTATACGCTTTTGGTTTGCAACTCGTATCGTTTTTTTTATCGTACAATTATTATTATTATTTTCGTCAAATTTAATTTCTTGGTCGAGAAACTAAAGTCGTCGTCAAGCGGAAAGATTTCTTTTTTTATTACAGAATGGACGTTCACCATAAAAGAAAAAATTTTTGAATATCTCCTCGGATAATGGAATAATGGTGAGGATTGGGAGTGAGTGAGAAGAGAAAGTCAGTCGTATGTTTGATGCGTGATAAATTTTGATTTTATGTTATTCAAATGTCGAAAAAAAAAAATTGGCGAAAAAAGAAAAATGGCAAACGTGATTTGATTCTTCTTGATTTTTTTTTTTTTGAATAGGGACTTAAATTATATTATTATATTATCCAAACAGGAAATGGTGAAGAAAGAAAAAAAAAAAATTTTTTTTTAAATGCTAAGTTTGGTCGACGGTCGACGGTCGTAGTGTGTAACTATAATGAAAAAAAAAAATTAAAATTGAATTATTCTGTGTGCACATGAGCAATAATAATATAAAAAAAAAAATCTGATTTAGTACACTTCATATTATACTCTGGAAGTGTAAATACGCAAATGTATTTCCTTATTACGCTCGTATGTATGCGATAATGCGCAGAGCACATTGTGTAATCACAATACGTAATCCAAATGAAATTTATTGTAAAGCTTGTGATTTATAAAAGCGGAGAATCCCTCCAGCATATGCGTGGTGTCTACATGTATAAGTCCGAATTGGTGGAATCCTGGGCAGAACCAAGAATTTTTTATTTATACGTATTATGTGGGATGAGCAACGAATTAACCGTTATTTTCGTAATAGTGATACTATATTAATAACATCATTCCATATACAGGAGTCGTGATGCAAACTAATTTTTGCAGTGACGACGTCGCAGTGGCACTAAACAAGAGAATAACGCATACAGGATAAATCATTTGTTACGGTATACCGTGGTATATTTGTTTATATTTTGTAAGTTGCTTGTGTGGATGTTGATTTGATCACTTATTAGTCGAAGAGCTAGTAAATCGGAGATGGAAATAACTGGTTGCTTTTTGACAATATTTTTTTTTGGTATTTCCACGTCTTCCAACGTCGATTTCTTGTAACGAAGAAAATAACCAATGGTGATGCCGCAACGTAGAGAAATCCGCAGTTGGAAAAGTGAATCTCGTCCGAGAACTTTCGAAAATTTGTGATTGATCTCAACATCATCTGAAACACAATGTCGAAACATTGGGTGCCATCGTATTACGTACGCACGCACTTATTAATGAAAGGCGCAACATGTGCGTAGCCCAAGAAAGATGTTTTTCTATCATGCATACAACACGTACGTTTAAAAATGTGTAATGGTTTTCATAACACGTATGCGTCGTTGTCAACCGCCGTCTGTCAACCGCCGTCTGTGAACTGCCGTCTGTGAACCGCCGCCTGTGAACGGTCGTCCGTGAACCGCCGCCATGTCGCTTGTATATTTTTTTCGGGGGGAAGAGCCTCAGGTTTCCGGAAGGCGAATCGCACGAATAAACTCATCGATTGGTGTCCCCGTTGGGTAAGCAAAGTGTGAAACCTTTTTTGACATGCATGTTTGGCCTCATAATATTTAAGCGTGCAGCGCAATCGATGTATTCCCCTCCACTTGTTAGATATGATTGCACAGGAGACAACTACAACAAACAAAAGGTACGCATGGGCGTGGACGTGTACGAAGAAAACTGCATGGAAGCGTGAGATGGGCAAAGGAAAGCAGATATTGGTGTGCGGCTGACCATCGTGAATGTAAACAAGATGGTGAAAGTCTAATACTGTACCGTATTAACATCAGCGAAGGAAGGTCCGAATGTTATTATTAGAATGATTTGCATTGCACAGAAGAACCTTATCGAAAACAGGTTTGTCGGCATCTTTTTTTTTTTTCTCTCTTAACTAAAACTTTCTCTTACTTCAATTTATTTAAAGATGCATCCTATCTTCGATCAAAACAGCCCGCCATCAATTATCAGTAAGACAGGTTTGAATA